CTGCTACTTGAGTTGTTCTCCTTGCTTTCTTGATGTATAAAGCTCTCTTTTGGTGCTAGATGATTTATATACCCCCAACTAGTAGTTCTGATTGATGGGAAGTAGTTGTTTATTTTTAAGGAAAGGCATAAACCCATATCCTAAAAGCATCTTTAGCATCTCCCTTGTATTTTACTAATTGAAAAAAAAAAATTATTTCCAATTGTATCCACTAACAAATTTGAGATGCTTCTTGTTTCTTACGTTTCCTTTGTGAGACTTTGAAGGCATATAACTATCTTATCAAATAATCTATGTTTTCTTTCGGTTGCAAGCATATCACTATCATATCAAGAATAGTTAGAATCTTTCAATCCAACATTAGTGGTTTCTCATATTTGATGAGTAAACCTCTTTGGGGAGCCTGATTGGCCCCTCCCACCGAATTCTGGTTAATAAATAATTCAGATATAATAATGTTCACGTACTCAATTATACTCTTGATTCTTCTTTCTAATTTCTCTTTGAGTTCAGTTGTAGAGAGAATATTTCAGTTAATTTTGTATTCTTTTAATTAGAGCATATCATCTACATGTCAATTTGTAAAGTAGAATAAGATTTGCATTCTTTTGTGTGTGTGTTTGCCAATGTGATGACATGATAGGATTTGTGTTTTTGCGCCTTCCAATGTGATGATAAATTAAGAAGGCAACTTCCAAATTTCAATACATAATTTAATACTCTCTTCCTCTCCTCTGTCTCTAATTACTTGTCCATTTTTTTCATTTATAATTATTCCTAATTATTTGCTCATTTTGACAAATCAAGAAAGAACAATTATTTTTTACCTATTATACCTTCAATTAAATGATTAATTACTTTGAAAAATGTAGAATTTTTCATCTACTTCATAATTAATAGGGGTAAAATGATAAATTCACTATGTCATTAATTGATTTCTTAATAGGTGTGTCAATTCAAAAGTAGACAAGTAATTAGGGAGTATTGTAATATGAAAAATAAAGTACAACAACTTACCTAGTCTAGTTTCGTAATGCAGATTTTATCCTTAAATTAGACGTAGAAAAGTAGTTTTTATAGATCCAAGCTCAAGGAAAAGCAGTTCAAAATAGTTTTAAAAAAAATAAAAATATAAAAAACAACATATAATAACAAAAATATAACAAAGAGTAATAGAACATAAACTAAAACAAAGTAATACACCAATCAAGGTACAAAAATCTATATGAACAATACTATAACTATTAATATGAATGAACAACAAGATAACACAGTGCTACCTACAAATATTTTATCTTAATTTGTGTTTTTCACATCCTCTTATTTGAGGTTATGTCCTTGTTAAGTTAAAATTGTGTCATATCTTATTCAATAACATTTTTTCAATACTTCTTCGTCTACTTTTACTTCTGATGAAACTGTTTATAGCCAGCCTATCATACAACCTCACTAGAACATTCATACATCACCTTTTTATATATTTAAACTATCTCAATATTATTTTTGTATCATGAAAAATAAAATAATAATATTCTATGCTCTGTCGAATCGCACTATAAAAGGGAAATATTTTGATAAATCTATTAAATGACGTTATATAGTAAAGGAAAATATTCTCAAAGTGAAAGGCATGTGAAAATATTCCAATTAGATGTTATACTAATGATGTATTATTAGTACGGCATAGTGATGATTATAGAATTAATTTGGGTTTATGTTTCGTAATCAATTACGTAGAAGACAAAAACTAAATCAACAAAGGGATTTGCATTGATTTATGACATTGGAAAGATTAAAATCAACGATTTGGTTTTACGTTCCGTAATCAACTACTCCTATTAAGTAGGTGAGGAAAAACTAGTACTCCATTCGTTATAATTTGTTTAGTATATATTTATTTTTGATTGGTTGAAAAATTAATATTTTTTCCTTTTCAATAACTTTTTAAATTAAGTTATTCATATAACATGTTGAAGATCATAATATTAAAAGATATTTAGTACATTTGACAAGTTTTAAATTTAAATTCATAAGATTCAATTTTTTTTACTTTTTTTTTTATCTTCGTGTCAAATTATGAAACAAAAGAAATAGTTATTACTCTGATCTCTTTGTTCATTTTTATTTGTCCATTATTTCAGAAATAAATTTTCATTTTTACTTGTCATTTTTAATATATCAAGGAAACACAAAAAAATAATACTCATATTTTACCTTTAGCATTAATTACCATTCACCAATTATTTTTCAAAACATAATAATAAACATTACTCCCTCTATCGCTAATTATTTGTCCACTTTTCATTTTTTAGTTGTCCCTAATTACTTGTCCACTTTGACAAATCAAGAAAACTTATTATACCCTCATTTAATTAATTTGCAAAAGGTAAAACTTTTTGAAAATCTTAAATTTTTAATTCATCAACTTCATAATTAATAAGAGTAAATTGGTAAACTCATTATGTCAATCATTATTTTTTTAACAGGTGTAATAATTAGGAGCGGAGGGTGTAATTAACAGATATTGAGTGATAAAATAATCACATCAATTTTATTTCTTTTAATAAAGGTATCAAGATTAAATATTATAACAAATAAAAAGGAGGAGAAGGAATATGACTTTGGTTCGATCAAATTAAATAATTCTAATTAAATTTAATATTTCTTTTAAAAAATTATTAATTATATAAATTAATAATTTTAAATTTATAAACTTTAAATAGCAAAGAGTACCGCAATTATCCGTGAAGTGGAACATGAGCACGTGGCATTGAGCTGGTAAAAATTGGACTTTGTGACCTGCTGCAATATTTACAATATCCAACAAAATATATTGTTCTTTTTCCTTGGAATTTGAAGTATGTATGGGAGTTTGATTAAATTTGCATTGCGAGATTTATTAGTAAGTGAAATTTTCAATAGAATTTTTCTTATATTTTAGGCTCAATTCTGAAATTTTTATTTAAGAACGGAGTAATTTTACCACAGCAGAATAATCCATATTGATTATGTGCTATTATTCTATTCTTATGAAAAGTTTTGATAGGAAATAGGGATATGTGATGATTGGTCTGTTTTGGGTATTTATCTCATCAAAAGTAATAATTAGAAAGTGATTGTCCACTCTTAGCTCAAGTACGTATTTAGTTTGAAGACGAAATTGTATTTTATTCCCCTCTCTCTATTTAATGATGATGTGATAGATTGAGCGATAAATAAAATTAAATGTTATTTTAAAAACATTGATCAAGTAAAATTGAACTAAAATGGTATTATTTGTGTCTTAGAGTCTTAGTTTATCCGATACGTTTTTTTATTTTAATTCTTCTTGAAAAAAATATCACGAATCAATTTACCTAATTTTAGTTTCCAAGTATCTGTTGTTGGTGAGAGAGGACATATATCTCGTGGAATTAATTAAAGTGCTTAAAAACTGATTTGAACATCATAATCATCGAAATAAAACACAACTCAATTTTAAAATTTATTTTTTATTCTTAATCGTACTGAAATAATTCATAACTATACAAATTGTCAAAAATATTTTGGACTACAATTGTTCATAACTATGTGTCGTGTTTAACGATATCACATAAATTGAAATGGAACTAGGTAGGCGTTTGGTCATGCGATATCATATCACGATATGGTATCGTGAGATGGAATCAGCGTTTGGACATGCGATTTTATGCTGATTACATCTCATGATTCCATATCATGAGATGTGATTCCATATTCTCCAAAAATCATGATATGGAATTCCCATATGATATGAAATTATATGGGAATTCCATATCATGATTTGAGATATTTTAATACAAAAATTGATCTACGACTTTATATTTTGTTAAAACAACCCCATATTTATATCTACAAACCATTTATTTCATATGTAAATAAAATTTATAATTACATCATTACTTATTAAAATTTATGTATTTACTATGCTACGTGAGAATAAAACTTATTTATTTACTATTTATTATTCGCATCCACGTGATAGTAAGGTACTTGATAATGCACTTGTTAAACCAACGTCACAATTTCCATTTCCGTCACATGGTAACTTTAAATTACATCCTTAGAATAAATATTATTTATTTACACAAAGTTGTCTCATTACGTCACATATGCTTTTAGTAATTCTTTATAAAATAATTGTTGGTAAATAAATATTATGTTGTTGATGCTAGTTTCCGAAACACAAGAATAATTTTTAGCTCCATACAAAGGACTACGCTATCATTTGCAAGATTACCGAGGAAGTGAAAGAGAGCCTCAAAATACCAAAGAACTATTTAATTATAGGCATTCATCGCTGCGTAGTGTGATTGAACGGACTTTTGGAGCTTGGAAAAATAGATTTAGAATACTGAAACAAGGCATAAACCATTATGATATTGATGCACTTGTGAAAATTGTCATTGCTTGTGCAGTGTTACATAATTATTTTCAAGAATACCAAAGTACTGATGAAATATTTATGGTCTACGAGCATGAAAATGTAATTGCGGATGATATTGACCAACAAATGGCTCAAAGTAACAATGTTGGTTCGTCTTCTTGGTCACATGATTGAGAAATGCAAGTTCAACAGGAAATTGTCCATACTATTTGAGAGGATTATATTAAAGACTAGTACACTACAATTCATGTTCAATTTTTTTATTAAATTAAAGTTAGATGAAACAATTACTTAAGTGGAGAACAAATAACTTTATAATAATATATTATGCGATTTTATATTTTTTTTGTTTATTTGATAAGATTGAATAAATAATTGAGGTTATTTTAATAGTTTTACAACTTATGAGATTTTTATGTTTATGAGAAAATATACAATACAAAAATTTAATATCGCATGTCTAAATAAAACTTCAATTTCATCTCATGATTGCATATCATGATACCATATCATAATTCTATATTGCATGGTCAAACGGGTCCTAAATAAAAAAATTTCCCTATATAAAGCATATATCTGTTACAACTTACCATACCACCAAACACATCTATCTTATTTCTGCATTAAAAAAAATTGCAAAAACTATTTTTCTTTTTTGGGATTAATTCCATTTGTTCATCACCATGACCATACCTGAAAAAATGGAGAAGCCTCACGTCGCCTTCCTCCCCAGCCCCGGCATGGGACACATTACTCCGCTTTTCGAATTCGCCAAACGCCTAGTCATCCACCACGGCTTCCACGTCAGCTTCTTCGTCATCACCACCGGAGCTTCCGCTGCTCAGAACGAACTTTTCCGACCGGAGAATCTCCCGGCCGATTTCACCATCGTCGAAATCCACCCGGTGGAAAATATCTCCTCGTTTTTCACCGACGATATGAAAGTAGTCACGCAATTGTGTATCATGGTCCGCGAATCACTGAAACATCTCCTTTCACTCTTAATGGAAAAACGCCCAAAAGCTTTAATCATCGATTTGTTCTGTACTGACGCTTTTGAGATTTGCGAAAAGCTTTCGATTCCTGTTTACTCTTTTTTCACTGCTTCTACTATTTTAATGGCGTTCTCTTTGTACTTACCGACGCTTGATAGGGAAGTTGAAGGCGAATTTGTTGATCTTCCTGAACCTATTCAAACTCCGGGATGTACCCCAATTTTCCCTCACGATATCCTCGATCAGGTAAAGTTGTTTACGAAAACGGATTTGAAGTTTATGTGTTACGTTCCTGAGTATATCGAATTTGCATTAAGCGCTTCTGATTCAACTGAATTCAATATTTTTGTCATAGGAAGCATGATTATACATGGAAAATACTTTTGAACTTGTACTTCTAAAAAGTGCGATAAATTTAACTAAAACAGTATTACGTTGAATTCATCAAGTTTAAATTTTGAATCGTATTGTACAGGTGAAAGACAGGAAGAACGACGAGTACAAGTGGTATTTGCTTAACGTGAGCAGGTTGCCATTAGCAGCGGGGATATTTGTGAACAGTTGGGATGATCTTGAACCTGTATCCCTTAAAGCTCTTAGAGAAAATTTGTTTTTCCAAAAAAATACCTCTTCCTCCTGTTTATACAATCGGGCCGTTAATCAAACAAGATGAAGTTGTTACAGGAAAGGATGCAGAGATTTTAGCTTGGCTGGATGATCAGCCCCCTGATTCTGTTCTTTTTGTGGTCTTTGGTAGTGGCGGCACCTTGACGAGTGAACAACTTACTGAGTTAGCTTGGGGTCTCGAAATGAGTCAACAAAGGTAATATTCCTTTAGTTGTCCCATATAATATTCCCTCCGTTTCATTTTATATGTCATCTCATTCTATAAATAATTTGATCATAATACTTGTTATTTTATAAAATTTATGCATAAATTACCATATTTTACCTATTATACCCTTGATAAAATAGTTAATTAATATTGTCATTTATTAATAAAGTTGACTTGAAAAAACATTAAATAAGGATAAAAAGATAAAGTTACATCATCTCTTAATGCAAGTGCAAAGTAAAAAAATGATATATAAAATGGGACTAAGGGAGTATAATTTAACCAGACACAGTTAAATTGTTATTAAATATACACATATATCATTTTTCATACCTAAATATGTCATTAAACTTGGTCCATATTTTTGGTCTCTAACTTTAGATATGCACCATTAAACAGTTAAACTATTCAAAAATTAAACAAGCATGTCTTATTTGGCAGTTTTGCGTCCTACATTATATCTTACGTATATTATGTAATATAAGACATATATATCTACTTGTTTAACTTTTGAATAATTTAAATATCTATTTATACACAATTTAAATGAGAGGAAATATATTCAAGTTGATGCAGTATTAAAAAATAAGTTTATATATTAGAGCCTGTTTGGATGGGCTTTTAAGCTGGTCAAACTAGCTTAAAACCAGTTTTTGACTTATTAGAGTGTTTGTCAATTATCAAAGTGACTTATTTTAAATCAAAAATGACTTATTTTAAGCCAAAAGCTAAAAGCTAGGGGAGGGGAGTTTTTTTTTTTTTTTTTTTGAACTTAAAAGCCTTTTTATATTGATCAAGTATATTACTTTTTTGCCCTTAATTCTTTTATACAATTTCCAAATTGCCCATATTGAATTATTATTATTTTATTATTTTTATTATTATTATTATTTTATTATCATTATTTTATTATTATTATTATTATTATTATTATTATCATTATTATCATTATTATTATTATTATTATTTTATTATATTATTATTATTATTTTTATTATTATCATTATTATATTATTATTATTTTATTATATTATTATTATTATTATTCCTCTTATAAATAATTTGTGGTGGTAAAGAAATATGTGAATGATAGGAAAATATTATTACTTATGGATGTAAAATATAAATTAATTTTGTTTTAATTTTTTTTAAAGTATAAAAACCTTAAATTAATCAACTTTTCATCATGTTAACAACTTAAAGGGTATTTCAGATATTTTGATAAAAAAAGTATTTACCAACACTTATTTGCCAAACACATCAACAATTTTTTTTTCAACTGCAACACTTTTATCCAAACACATAACTACTTATTTTAAAAATAAGTTTCAACACTTTGAAAAGTTACTTTTTTTAAGTCAATCCAAACGGGCTCTTATTCTTCGATAAAATATAGTACCAAAATTGGTTGTCTTTGGCCACACCCTGTTTAGAGTAATTAAGTGTATAAATTGTGAGTATATTTTTTTTTAACTATAATTGTACTTCCAATAATAGGTTCATTTTAGTGGCGCGCAAACCAAGTGATGCTAGTGCATCAGCAGCTTTTTTCAACGTGGGGAGCGATGAGAATGACCCATTACTGTACTTGCCTGAAGGATTCGTTAAGAAAACAGAAGGGAGGGGTTTAGTGGTCCCATCATGGGCCCCACAAACATCAATTCTCAACCACCCATCAACCGGAGCATTTCTGTCACATTGTGGATGGAATTCGACTTTAGAAAGCATAATTCATGGTGTGCCTATAATAGCATGGCCACTTTACGCGGAGCAGAGGATGAACGCCACCCTCTTAGCGGAGGAGGCCGGGGTGGCTTTAAAGTTCTCGAAAGATCCTGGGGAAGAGCTTGTTGATCGGAATGAAATTGAGAAAAATGTGAGGATTGTTATGGAAGGAGGAAAAGGGAAAGCTATTAGGATGAGAGCCAAAGAGCTAAAAGAAAGTGCAAAAATTGCACTTAACAGCGGAGGATCGTCTTATGAGTCGCTTTGTAGTATTGTTCAGATTTGGAAATCTCAGTGACTCTCTTGTTGAAATAATATTTACTACTTGTTTTGCACGTGTTTTAAGAAATCATAAATAAAATATTTATTTTTTTGTTATTATATTTCTTCAGTATATTTATTCCGAGGGCGTTTAGATTTAGCTATGATTTTCTTTTTAAAAGTGGAACTTCACTAAACATGTGAGATTATTAAACTTTAAAATCGTTTTCACTGTACATTGTATTCATAATCAATATAACTCCAATTTTGAAATATAATTTTCATGGTCAGAACTATAACAAATAATTTTTTATTGATTCTGATAACTAATATGAGGAATAATTTCCCTGGACAGTCACCCATGTTTGAGAAATTACCCAGGAATATCACTTATGTTTGTTTTAGGACCACAATATCACCCAATTTTACCTCTTTTTCTCAAAATATACTTGATACAAAAAAAACATTATCTCTCTCCTAATAGGATGCCATGTCACATTATTCCTTTTTTATTATTAACATTTTTTAATAATAATAATAATAAACAGTCACTCATGTTTGAGAAATTACCTAGAAATATCACTTATGTTTGTTTTAGGATCACAATATCACCCAATTTTACCTCTTTTTCTCAAAATATACTTGATACAAAAAAAAAACATTATCTCTCTCCTAATAGGATGCCATGTCACATTATTCCTTTTTTATTATTAACATTTTTTAATTCCTTTTTTATTATTAACATTTTTTAATTCCTTTTTTATTTTTAACATTTTTTTTAATTCTTTAAAAACATTGTATCCTTTGTAGTTTGACAATATGGTTACCTTATTACTCTAATGAATTAAAATATCCACAAAAAGGGAGTCCGAAGCCAAAAGGGTCATTTTTTTCCTTCAAAAAACAAAAACGGCACATCAAAAAAAAAATTAACCAAAAGGGCAAAATCGCTCCTGACGGAGCAATTTTCTTTTGACAAAAATTGACGTCGTTCCGTTAAAAGAAATAAAAATAGCTGCCTTAGCAACGATTTTCTCAAAAAAAAAAACATTATTTCTTTAAAATTGTTGTTATAGCAGCGTTTTTATATATATAAAATAAAACATAAAGAACAAGTTTTAAATTACATAAATTTCCGATGACAGCCATTTAAAAAAATTAAGTTTTTTAAAGAAAAAATCTCAGTTTTTTTTTTTTAATTTTCATTTAAATTGCTGAAAGGGTAAAGATTTTTTTAAACAAAGCTTTTTATGAAAATCGCTGGCTTCAGTTTTTATTTTTTAAATTTTTTTATTAAATTCTCTGCAAGGGTAGGATTTTTTTTTAAAAAAAAATTAATTTCTTAAACAAAATCGAACTTTTTAAAAAAAAATCGCTGCTATATAGCAACGATTTTACTTTTAATTTTTTTTATATAAAAACGCTGCTATAGCAGCGATTTTAAAGAAAAAATATTTTTTTGAGAAAATCTTTGCGAAGGCAGCGATTTTTATTTCTTTTAGCGGAATGCCATCAATTTTTGTCAGAACAAAATCGCTCCGTCAGGAGCTATTTTGTCCTTTTGGTTTTTTTTTTTTGTGTCGTTTTTGTTTTGTAAAGAAAACAATTATCCTTTTGGCTCTGGACTCAACAAAAAGGTGTCATTGCCCATTAGTGCCCATATAAAAACATTATCTCGCTTGAAAAACCGGAGGAAGTCATATATTTTCTTGAAGAATCGGAGGAGCTCATATTTGGATTTGCCGCCTAATCCCCTAGAACTAGGGTAAAATTTTTTGGGTTATGTAATTTTTTTTTACTAGGTAATATGGATTGTCTAAATTTTTTTTTTAAAAAATGTTAATAATAAAAAAGGAATAATCTGACATGGCATCCTATTAGGAGAAAGATAATGTTTTTTTTATGTCAAGTATATTTTGAGGAAAAGAGATAAAATTGGGTAATATTGTGGTCCTAAAACAAACATAAGTGATATTTCTAGGTAATTTCCCAAACATGGGTGACTATCCAGGGAAATTACTCCTAATATGAGATGGAGGAATATTAATTTGTCCTTGTTTCAATGGCTACAATTGCATGGAGACATAAATAGGAAAGATGTCAGAAATTGAAAATAATCCCATGCATATATGAGGGTACATGACGAAATTAATAATTATGACTTGTAGGTCCTAATTCCTGTTGACTAATAATGAATCAAATAAAAAAAAAATTGGGAAAAATTTGTGAAATGGCCAATTTCTGAGATCATTTGCTACTACTTGAGTTGTTCTCCTTGCTTTCTTGATGTATAAAGCTCTCTTTTGGTGCTAGAGGATTTATATATCCCCAACTAGTAGTTCTGATTGATGGGAAGTACTTGTTTATTTTTAAGGAAAGGCTTATTACCCATATCCTAAAAGCATCTTTAGCATCTCCCTTGTATTTTACTAATTGAAGAAAAATAATTTATTTCCAATTGCATCCACTAACAAATTTGAGATGCTTCTTGTTTCTTACGTTTCCTTTGTGAGACTTTGAAAGCATATAACTATCTTATCAAAGAATATATGTTTTCTTTCGATTGCAAGCATATCACTATCATATCAAGAATAGTTAGAATCTTTCAATCCAACATTAGTTGTTTCTCATATTTCATGAGTAAACCTCTTTGAGGAGCCTGATTGGCCCCTCCTCACCGAATTCTGGTTAATAAATAATTCAGATATAATAATGTTCACGTACTCAATTATACTCTTGATTCTTCTTTCTAATTTTTCTTTGAGTTCAATTGTAGAGAGAATATTTCAGTGAATTTTGTATTATTTTAATTAGAGCATAGCATCTACATGTCAATGGTAAAGTAAAATAAGATTTGCATTCTTTTGTGTGTGTGCTTGCCAATGTGATGACATGATAGGATTTGTGTTTTTGCGTCTTCCAATGTGATGATAAATTAAGAAGGCAACTTCCAAATTCCAATACATAATTTAATACTCTCTCCCTCTGTCCCTAATTATTTGTCATTTTTTTCATTTATAGTTATTCCTAATTATTTGCTCATTTTGACAAATCAGGAAAGAACAATTATTTTTTATCTATTATACCCTCAATTAAATGACTAATTACTTTGAAAAATGCAGAACTTTTCATCCACTTCATAATTAATAGGGATAAATGGTAAACTCACTATGTCATTAATTGATTTCTTAATAGGTGTGTCAATTCAAAAGTAAACAAGTAATTAGGGATAGAGGGAGTATTGTAATATGAAAAATAAAGTACAACAACTTACCTAGTCTAGTTTCGTAATGCAAATTTTATCCTTAAATTAGACGTAGAAAAGTAGTTTTTATAGATCCAAGCTCAAGGAAAAGCAGTTCAAAATAGTTTCGAAAAAAAAATAAAAATATAAGAAACAACATATAATAACAAAAATATAACAAAGAGTAATAGAACATAAACTAAAACAAAGTAATACACCAATCAAGGTACAAAAATCTATATGAACAATATGATAACTATTAATATGAATGAACAACAAGATAACACAGTGCTACCTACAAATATTTTATCTTAATTTGTATCTTTCACATCCTCTTATTTGAGGTTATGTCCTCGTTAAGTTAAAATTGTGTCATATCTTATTCAATAACATTTTTTCAATACTTCTTCGTCTACTTTTTACTTCTGATGAAACTGTTTATAGCCAGCCTATCACACAACCTCACTAGAACATTCATACATCACCTTTTTATATATTTAAACTATCTCAATATTATTTTCGTAATGAAAAATAGAATAATAATATTCTATGCTCTCTCGAATCGCACTATAAAAGGGAAATATTCTGATAAATCTATGAAATGACATTATATAGTAAAGGAAAATATTCTCAAAGTGAAAATATTCCAATTAGATGTTATACTAATGATGTATTCTTAGTACGGCTTAGTGATGATTATAGAATTAATTTAGGTTTATGTTTCGTAATCAATTACGTAGAAGACAAAAACTAAATCAACAAAGGGATTTGCATTGATTTATGACATTGGAAAGATTAAAATCAACGATTTGGTTTTGCGTTCTGTAATCAACTACTCCTATTAAGTAGGTGAGGAAAAACTAGTACTCCAGTCGTTACAATTTGTTTAGTATATATTTATTTTTGATTGGTTGAAAAATTAATATTTTTTCCTTTTCAATAACTTTTTAAATTCAGTTATTCAAATAACATGTTGAAGATCATAATATTAAAAGATATTTAGTACATTTGACAAGTTTTAAATTTAAATTCATAAGATTCAATTTTTTTTACTTTTTTTTTTATTTTCGTGTCAAATTATGATACAAAAGAAATAGTTATTACTCTAATCTCTTTGTTCATTTTCATTTGTCCATTATTTCAGGAATAAATTTTCATTTTTACTTGTCATTTTTAATATATCAAGGAAACACAAAAAAATAATACTCATATTTTACCTTTAGCATTAATTACCATTCACCAATTATTTTTCAAAACATAATAATAAACATTACTCCCTCTATCGCTAATTATTTGTCCACTTTTCATTTTTTAGTTGTCCCTAATTACTTGTCCACTTTGACAAATCAAGAAAACTTATTATACTCTCATTTAATTATTTTGCAAAAGGTAAAACTTCTTGAAAATCTTAAATTTTTAATTCTTTAACTTCATAATTAATAAGAGTAAATTGGTAAACTCATTATGTCAATCATTATTTTTTTAATAGGTGTATTAATTTAAAAATAGATAAATAATTAGGAACGGAGGAAGTAATTAACAGATATTGAGTGATAAAATAATCTCATCAATTTTGTTTCTTTTAATAAATGTATCAAGATTAAATATTATAACAAATAAAAAGGAGGAGAAGGAATATGCCTTTGGTTCGATCAAATTAAATAATTCTAATTAAATTTAATTTTTCTTTTAAAATTTTATTAATTATATATAAATTAATAATTTTAAATTTATAAACTTTAAATAGCAAAGAGTACCGCAATTATCCGTGAAGTGGAACATGAGCACGTGGCATTGAGCTGGTAAAAATTGGACTTTGTGAACTGCTGCAATATTTACCATGTCCAACATAATATATTGTTCTTTTCCCTTG